AGCAGAACAAAAAGACACGTCTGTCCTTAATTTTGTGCCTAGACACCGATAGATGCTCTGGGCATGCTCCTGGAAAGTGCCGTGGAACAGCACCTCAGAAGGACTGCTAGTGCACCGCCTTCCGAATGGTCCTAGTCCTGGTAGCCAGGACATGTCATTGTGTGTCATTGTGCCGGGGTGCCATAGGGGCCTCCTGGACGCTGACAGGCGTGAGCAAAGTGGACACGTCCAGGCCCTGGCAGGGTAATGTAGATGCAGCCGTAGGGCCGTAGGGTCAGGGTCCAGGGTGAGCCCACAAAGTTTTTTTGCCAGCTGAACCTTCACGGAATGCCCTTGGACTGCTCGCAGCCTCTGACCGTCCTGTTACGGAAGCAGCCGATGGAATGATTGAGTAAGTACTCCGGCAGTGCCATGGTTTATGGTTTAGGGTTTAAGTTGCCCAAAATGCAGCAAGCGGTCCTCGCTGAACTGGTAGCGGCGCTTCTCGTCGTTCAGCACCAAATCCTTTCAACAGGGAATCAGGACACATCTCAGCGATCCATGATGCACTGGGCGGATTCCGCGCGTGCAAGAGAGTACCCCTACCTTGCCTTGAGAACGGATGCCTGGACTCTGAGGAAGCCAGCGGCGTCCGAGGACGGGTACCAGCCCCCGTTCTTGGAGATGCGCTTGCAGTGCCGCAACAGCCAAGACAGCCTTCCGCCCAGTTGACCTGAGCTCCCCGCTTCCCAGCTGGGTTTCGAGGGTGTATAGGGTTTAATCCAAACAGAGAAGGCAATGCTTTGTTGCAGACGGGTCTCGGCGATCTTGCTGGGAGAGTCTCGGAGTCTGCCAACCTTGCCAGGGACACCGCAACTCAATGTGTGCCACTCAGTAGGCGGCGCTTAAAAAGTACAATGAAGTCATGCCGAAGGGCTCTGCCACGAACTGCCGCTTCCCTGTGGCTGGCCTTAGTTAACTAGGAGGTGTTATGGCTTCTGAAACACGCGTGCGCGAAAATCAAATCATGCCGAAGGGTTCTGCCACGAGCTGGAGCTTGCCTCTGGCTGACCTTAGCTAACTAGGACAGGAGGAGGTGTCATGGCCTCTGAAACATGCTTGTGCAAAAATCTTGCCGAAGGGCTCTGCCACGAACTGCTGCTTCCCTCTGGCTGGCCTTAGTTAACTAGGAGGTGTTATGGCTTCTGAAACATGCTTGCGCGAAAATAAACTCTGTTCAGGCAAGTCTCCGGGCTCATCCACACTGGATCTTGACCGCTGGCCTTTATTGTAGGAGTGTGATGGTTTCTGAAGCACACGTGCGCGAACAGAACCACTGTTGAGGCAAGTCTCTGGGTGCAGTCTCCCAGGAAGAGCTCACCTGTCGCTTCCCTTAGTTGTAGGAGGACTGTCATGGCTTCCGAACCACACATGCGCAAACGTAAAACCTGTTCACATGGACTGAATTGAGGCCAGACTCGTGCTGGCGGCTCCTTGGGTTCGGGAGGCCTCCGGCTGCCGCCTGAGTGCATGGTTTCTTCAGGTCTACCTGTTTTGCGTGTTGAAATGTCCACTTGCGGTCCAGATTCCAGCCGAAGATGCCCGCCCACCACCATCAGCATGGCCTGCCTTGTAGCCTCAAAACACACATACACGAAGACTATGCATGCATCTTCTGACAACACAGAGACAGGAAAGGAAACCATGCTCGACTCGAATGATTAACTCTTTTGAGGCCAGACTCCGGGAGGCGGATACGGCGGCTCGGGCACCGCAGTCCAGATCGAAACCGGGACCCGCCTGCCTGAGTGCACAAATGCTTTTGCAGAACTTGTGCAACTGTGCAGGTCCTCCTGTGTTGCTTCTTGACATGTCCACTTGCGGTCCAGATACTGTCCGCGGATGATGGTGCCTCGGCGGCCTCTGCACCTTGTTGCCCAAACCCGAAGCACTAACGACAAGGGACAAAAATGCAGCTGAGCTGAGTGAGCTTCATTCAGACCTACTGGCCAGGACATAAGCAGGGAAATTCAGGCTGAAGAGTGACTCTTTCAGACCTGATGATAACTACTTGCAGCCCAGGATACTTGCAGCTTCTGCCTCCGGCTTCTTCTTGGGCATGGCCTTCGTCTTGACCACTGGTCCTGGTGCCCAGGACAGAAACACCAAATCCTCAACCCCAAACCCTGAACCCTGAATCGAGCATGGGTCCTGGCTAGGAGAGAAACACTAAATCCTGAACCCCAAGCCCTCAACCCGAAACCGAGCATAAGTCGGGAAATTGGGTCTCAGGACAGATTTCTGGAGGAAGATCATCGCCTTTTGCAGTCCAGGAGGCTCGAAGGTGCAGCCGCCGTTTGCGGTCTGGCCTTGGCCTTGACTGTGCCTTGGATGTCTTGAGCATGTTTCTTGTCCAAACAAGAAGCAGCAGGACAAAGGCAATGCAGTCAGTGCAGGTTTAGGGTTTTGGCTTTAGGGTTTACGTCCTGGCTACCATGACACCAGTTTCAGTTCATCTTATCAGGGGGGACATTTCATTAGAACTGAAGCTGGTTACATGGGTAGTGACAGAGAAAATGCGACATGTTTTAGTTGAGCTTCTCGGTGCCGCCGCTGGAGATCTTCCTTGGAGAAGAGACTGTCTGTGCAATGCACATGTCCTTGAACTGCAGTTGAGGCTCCTGTGGCCTGCAGAGGCACCTCGAAGCAACCTCAAAAGCAGAGTGCAGCAGTTTGGGGAGCCTGCCCTAAACCCAGACCCTGGCCTCCCCACTTACAGTCTGAACCCGTCTAAATCAGCTTGGACCAAGAGACTGCTGTCGTCGCTGTCATCATCTCCTCAGATTTAAATATATAATAATGTTGTAATTCTAAAGATACAGATGCTGGACTTCCATGTATTGTTTGTGCCCAACTCGCTCTGGAGCTGCACATTCTCTATACTGTCGACTCATATTAAACTTTTCTGCTGCCAAGAAGCGAAGATTCTTCTGGAAATCACGATACTCCTGACGAAGGCCTGGGATATGAGGAGAGACAGAGTGGCTTGAAGACGTGTGACCTGCTCTGTAGTCAAACTCATGTTGCTGTTCAAGCGTCTCTGCAGAGTCTGTTCGAGGGCCTGAGCTTCGAGAAGGAGGGCATCTCCTTAGATGTGGATGAGGCTACAGTCCCAAAGTAAGAAATTTAAGTCAGCACCACCTGCAGCCAAGAGTCTTCTTTCTCGTGCAAGACGGCCCTGCTCTTCAACTTGGTAGGACAGAAGTGCAAGTTAGACAACAAGCCATGAAACGGACATTCATGCTTCTTGGTCTGAGTCATGCTGCGGCATGTGGCTGATGCAACCAAGACACGATGCCGCAGGGTTCTCTGGCGGTCCCGCTTCCAGTCGCTCGGCCCCTTCGTGCCACTCCATGTGGCTGACGGCATTTCGCCGCGGGCGAGGGTTCAGGGGGACTTAGTAAGTAGGTCATAATTGGGGTTATAAGTCCCCTAAGCAGCAGTTTGGGGAGCCTGCCCTAAACCCAGACCCTGGCCTCCCCATTTACAGTCTGAACCCGTCTAAATCAGTTTGGACCAAGAGACTGCTGTCGTCGCTGTCATCATCTCCTCAGATTTAAATATATAATAATGTTGTAATTCTAAAGATACAGATGCTGGACTTCCATGTATTGTTTGTGCCCAACTCGCTCTGGAGCTGCACATTCTCTATACTGTCGACTCATATTAAACTTTTCTGCTGCCAAGAAGCGAAGATTCTTCTGGAAATCACGATACTCCTGACGAAGGCCTGGGATATGAAGAGAGACAGAGTGGCTTGAAGACGTGTGACCTGCTCTGTAGTCAAACTCATGTTGCTGTTCAAGCGTCTCTGCAGAGTCTGTTCGAGGGCCTGAGCTTCGAGAAGGAGGGCATCTCCTTAGATGTGGATGAGGCTACAGTCCCAAAGTAAGAAATTTAAGTCAGCACCACCTGCAGCCAAGAGTCCTCTTTCTCGTGCAAGACGGCCCTGCTCTTCAACTTGGTAGGACAGAAGTGCAAGTTAGACAACAAGCCATGAAACGGACATTCATGCTTCTTGGTCTGAGTCATGCTGCGGCATGTGGCTGATGCAACCAAGACACGATGCCGCAGGGTTCTCTGGCGGTCCCGCTTCCAGTCGCTCGGCCCCTTCGTGCCACTTCATGTGGTTGACGGCATTTCACCGCGGGCGAGGGTTCAGGGGGACTTAGTAAGTAGGTTATAATTGGGGTTATAAGTCCCCTAAGTGGGGTTATCCTACTTATATCCTACTTATAACCTTACTTACTAAGTCCCACGAGCCTTTAAGTAGTGTGGAACCCAAAGTTTCTGTCCTGGACCCCAGGACTCTGCAATATATTTCAAGCGTACTGCTGTTTGTGGTTGTGGTGTTGGTGGTGATTGTGATGGTGGTCGGCTGCAGTGTCACGTTGTCTGAGTAAGCGGTTTAGGGTGTAGGGAAAGTGTAGGGTTTAGGGTTGTGACCAAAGTAGAATTAAGAAAGGAATTAGTAAAAGTAATCCAGGGACTGATAATGACAATGATAATCATAATCACCCGAAACCCTAAGGTCCTTTTTAAATTTTGGGGTTCAGGTTTAGGGGTATTTAGGCGATCAGAAGCTGCCTTCACATATTCAGGGTGCAGTGCTGAAAGTGGAATTGCACATGGCTTCTTCATTTTTGTGACCTGGACCATGCTGGGTTCGCCGGCTCTAATGCTGACACAACCAAGGGCACCCTAGGGGTCCCTGCACAACAAACATAATGGTTGACACCTGCCTAGTGTTTCTGCGGTTTGTTGTCACACTTTCGACCCAAGCTACTGCAGGTTAAATAAGTGACACTAGAACAAGCCAATTTCAGCTGTGCTTGGTCGTTCTTCTGAGACGCAAGGTCAGACATTTTGTAAAAGTGTTGCAATGTTTGTTGTCACTTTCAAACAGGTCTAAGTTAAACTTGAAACACGTAAACTTGTTGCTGCAAGCACTCTGGCCAGCCATGTCAAACTGGATGATCCCACCGCCGCCGCCCCCGGTAGCCCCTGGCCCTGCACCGACAACTATGCCACCGCAGACTTCAATGCCTCCACCCCCAGCACCGCCAGCTATGCCCTCGCAGAGTTCGCCACCGCCGCCAGCGAAGTCACAAGAGACAGCTGCTGCACGTGGAAACAGAGGCCCGTCGTATGAGGCGAGAGGTGAAAACATGAGGACTCAGCTCGCCAACTTTTCTCAGGGCATCGGTGAGGTCAAAACGACCCTTGCTCTGCACGGCGAGAAGATGACGGAAATGCATACTGCGTTGCTGCGCCTCGACCGTCGTGCGAATGAAACGCTGGAGGTTCAGGAGAAGCTGCACAAGCTGGAGATGCAGAAGGCTTTGGATGCTCAGACGATAGAGCACAAGCAGGCCGTGGAGAAGCTCACTGGGCAGCACCAGCAGGAGTTCTGGAAATGGAAGAAGGCCAATGATGACTTCAACGTGCCTTGGCTTTGTTTATGATAGGTTTTCACGAGCGGAACTGTCAACAAACGAGGAGTCCCCGATCATGCGTATATGTTGCAATGCCCAGGTTGAGAACAAGCGCTTGCTCAATGAAGGCCAGCTAAAGGATCAGGAGATTCGCACCCTGAAGACAGACCTCAAAGAAAGTGAACGTCAGAACAAAGTTCTACGGCAGCGGCTGCAGGACATCGAGTTTCAAGCGTTTTTTGACGTTTGAAGATCATTCTCCAAAGGAGCATAGCATATGACATCATTTTTTGGCTTTGCACATGTATCACACCCTGCAGGATGCCGAAGAGGCAAAGAACAAGATGGATGTGGAAATGGCAAACCTCCAGGCCGGCTCTTTGCTGACTGCCACATTATGCTTTAGCAACCCTAGGCCTTGAGAGCATCACTCTTCACCGAAAGCCTCACATCCAGAACCCTGGACAAGCACCTGCCCGCTTCAGTCCAACCCGTTCCTATCTTGCATGCTCCCTGAAAGGGTCGCCTCGCCGCTTCTAGCAAGGATGAAGAAGGACACAGCTTTATGCCCTGAATATTTTCCTATTCCAACGAAAAAACAAATTTAACCCCCTGAGCCTGCAGTTTCCCAGGACGGCCACCCAAGAAGCGCAGGGGGGCCTGAGCTTCGGAGCATCGCTTGGCAACGGAGCAGGAGCTTACATGCCTCGCCTGGAATCTGCCAGTTCTCGTGGCAGAGCATGCGTAGAAGAGCTTCAGGCAAGTCTTTGTTTACGGCTCGCGCGGCAGAATGGCTGTATGAGAGCGGCGAAAAGAGAACAGGTGGAGATGGCAATTTGGCTTTCTAGCTTTGCTCAGTGCTAGTGGTAGTAGCAGTAGCAGTGGTGGTAGTAGTAGGCGTAGTCGTCGTCGTCACCATCGTCGTCGTAGTAGTAGTAGTAGTAGTAGTCGTAGTAGTAGTATTGTAGTCGTCGTCGTCATCGTCGTCGTTGTCGTTGTAGTGGTGGTCGTATTCGTGGTTGTGGTCAGATTCGTAGTCCGAATAGTCGAAATACGATTATTGCACATGGCATACATACATACATACATACATAGAGACAGACATACATTGTATATATGTATCTATGTATACATGTCTGTACATATATATATATATGTATGTATAATACAGACCAAGAAAGACATAAATACGTACACAAACATACCGCAGCTACAGATGCTTGCTGGGGCTAGGGATTTCGGGTTCAAGACCGGGGGTGGGGGTGGGGGGCACACAGTTGTAGATTTAGGGTGTGGTGTGGCTGAGGACGTAGGGCTTGGGATAGGGGAGGATGTAGGGTTCTGGGTCGAGGGGTTTGGGGTCCCAGTGAAGCTCCCTGCGATTCTCCATGGACTTTCAAACTTGCTGAATCCTGTTCGCCTGCTGTAACTGAACCCTGAACCCTGAACCTTGAATCCTCAACCCTCAACCGCCACCCTGAACCCTGACCCTCAACCTCCAACCCGAAACCCTCACTTGTTTTATGTCAGTGTTTCTCGGTCCGCTAGTGCTGCAAGAATGAATTCTACTGCCACTCTGCCAGAAAGATGTTCCTGTCCTTTTCAGATCAATGCCGTCAGATCCGCTTAGTGACCTTAAACCTACGATGAATATTGACGTGTTCTCAGAACCTTGCTGCATGCACTCATGAAGATCCAAGCGCCAGGCAGATGATCCAGGCCAAGCTGTGGCACCTGGCAAATTGATGAAAATCATGTCATTACAGAAGTCCTGTTGCATGGGAGTTGATAGCGATGCGGATGCTTTTTATTGGGATGGTATTTCCGATTGTTGGGTGGTTTTTGTTCTATTCTCATAAGCTAACTCTTTCCACTCTTATCGTCTTATTTTGGATCCTTCTTCTCACCTAGAATTCGCCTTATCCTAATTCCATGCATTACAGGCAGTGATCTCTGATGCCCTCCATGTCACGCCACTGCTGTTAGGCTCTGCTCTGGGAAAACATGACCACGAGGTTCACGAAATGCTGTCGTTGAAATTGCCAGGCCTCATCGAAGTCGCCGACGTTGTTTAGTCAAAGCTCCCCCGATGGGTTGGCTGCTCTGACAGGATGACAGGCACACTAATGGTCATGACTCCCGACATGAACGAATGACTAAGCAGACAGCGATCTCTGATGCCCTCCATGTCACGCCATTACTGTTAGGCTCTGCTCTGGCAAAACATGACCCAAGAGGTTCACGAAATGCTGTCGTTGAAATTGCCAGGCCTCATCGAAGTCGCCGATGTTGTTGAGTCAAAGCTCCCCCGATGGATTGGCTGCTCTGACAGGTGCACGCTTCCAGTCATGACTTAGGACATGAGTGAATTTGAACACTCGTGGTATATGACACAATAAAACACAACTTCAACAGACATTCTGCGCCCCCCCCCCCATTGAGCTGGCTGGGTCTTTGGGAGGAGGACGGGTGGGGCACCGAATAGAGTTTGCATCAGTACATATGTGTCCTGGAATCCAGGACTTGGCTGTGGCTCGCTTCAATTGTACTGCTCTTTGTGTTTCTGCTGTTGGTGGTGATTGTGGTGATGGCTGTGATGGTTTCCAAAAGTGCTGGCCGCACTGCTGGTGGAGGTGCAGTTTTGGTTTTGACTCTGGTGTTGATGTAGCTCACAAATGCAAAAAGAAGGACTGCAACATGTCATGCATGGGCACTTGAGCAGTGCGCCACTTCAGCAGTGGCCATGTACATGACACACATGAACACACATGAACATACATGAACAAGCATGACATGCATGACATGGCCACCTGAGCGGTGGCACCACTTGAGCAGTGGCCATGCAAGCAGCACTCACTCCTAGACCACTTGAGCAGTGGTCCTGCGCACTACAAACTGAGGCCGATGCACCAGGATGTCATAGCTCCCCCGTCGGCATCGTCTCTGACAGGGGGCGCGAACGCTCAGGGTTTAAAGTTTTAGGGTTATTAGGGCCTTAAGACTTGGGGTTGAAAGGGCTTGTTCAGGGTCTCTACAGTTTAAAGAGGGAGTGGAAGGTATGGTTGTCAAACACGATAACAACAATATGGTGCTAGAACTAGTCCTGGAATCCAGGACATTTTGCTCCACCCAACAAAGACCACCTCATCACCTGAATCCCAACAGCATATGTATGTATGTATGTACGTGTGTATGTATGTATGTAACTGTGTATGTAGCTATGTATGTATGTATTTATGTATGTATGCATGTATGTAGGTGAGTATATACCTGCATATTCACATGCACACGTGTGTGTATGTATGTCCGGTCTGTCTGTCTGTTTGTCTGTATGTATGTATGTATGCATGTGTATGCAGATATGCATGTACATATATATATGTGTATCTAAATTACATATGTTGGCATGTTATGTATCTACAACTGGTGTTAAGCTTTGGGCTTCAGGGTCTAGGATTTGTCAGGGTTTGGGTTGCCTCATCATCATCGAGCCACTGAAGATTTGTTGTTCTTTGTTTTTCTTCTTCGCAGTGAACACACAGCGCACACAAAAGTGTCAAACCAAAAATCCAGTGATTTTGAATTAGCACCGGTAAAATATACCCCCTGGACATCCAGGGGAAGATGTTTCTTTAGTGTGTCAAGCGACTTTATCAACCACTATCCATGACTGCAAACAGCAAAAATCCCAGACCCCAGATAGGAAAGAACAAGACCCCAGTTACAACGAATGGGGATTTCTACTGCTGTCACTACTTTACACTACTACTTCTTACTGCTCTTGCTGATGCTGCTGCTACTAATGCCGCCGACGACCGGTTGCCAAGTTGCTAGCTTTGTGACCTGAGCTACTACAGTGCTGAAGCTATTGGTCCGGATGTTCAGCATACGTGCTTGGTCCTGCGTGAGGAACAAGCGCTGGGCCTCGGTTTAGCTTGGCAGCTTAGCCTTAGTCCTAGTCTACAGTCTAGAGTCTAGACACGAGGTACATCCAATCGTCCGGTGGCAATTGACAGCTTCGACATCCTTTCGTAACGTTCTTCAGCCAAATCCACGGACGGTTGAAGGAGGTGATTGTGCATGGGGTGGAAGGGCTGTCAAGCCTAGTGGGCCTAGTGCTGTTGATGTTGGTCTTAATGTAAAGCTTCAAAACAACAAGCATGCCTGTAGCGGATGAGGTGCGATGAAAGGTACAGGTATTGCCTGAAATACAGGTCTAATCAGCGCAGCCCAAGTTTCATCAGTCATTGTCGTTGCTTGTCCTACTCGTAGTCGTCGTCGGTGTCGCGGACTGGAAATACTAAGTGCCACAGTCACGTGCGATAGACATGCTGCTAAGGACATGTAGGTCACAGAACCAACATTTCTCGTTTGTCACGCTAGTCTGAGTTTCATCTTTCTCGCTTCAGTCGTTTTCATCATGGGTCGCATGAGACTTACACTCGTCGCCATGGTCGTACATCAGCACCCTTGCTGCAGCACAGCAGACAAAGAGCCGGCACGCAGGAACAATCACTGCAAACACATGAACTCCGGAATCACCAGCAAACCCGAGATGCACCAGAACCGAAAGCTCATTTCCAAATACAGCAAAACCAAGAATCAGAGTCCGGCAGCAACAAAAGAAAACACGCCCAAAAGAACATTAGAATACCAATCCGCACAAGGCCTGAGAAATCAATCCAACCCAAAACAGAATGCAAAACACACGCAAAACCAGATAGCACAAAAAACGCAACCCCACCCCCAAATGCAAAAAAAAACGCAACCCAAAACAAAAAAAAAAAAAAAAAAACAAAAAAAAAAAAACAAAATCAGAATGCAAAAAAAACGCAACCCAAAACAAACAGCAAAAAAAACACAAAACAGGAATGCAACAGCAAAGCTGAAAGCAAAATAATTGTTTCGGGGATTTACAGTGCCTGGCCGAGCAGAAATCTTATAACTCCAGCCGAGGGACGGAGATTGTAATGATTGGACTGACATTCGCGTTCATGATTTTTTTTTCGCGCAATCCTTGGAGCATTTTGCTCATGTCATTGTTCGATTGCGGCTGTTCGATGTCGACTGTTCTGACATGTATTCTTGCACGCATGTATTGCAAGGCGTGTTGCGTGTCATCAGGAACATTGGCATGATTCCTGACAAACTGCCTTTGGACCGACACGTTATTGAACAAGGACATTGCGTCATTTGTAAAGATTGCACTTTTGATTCAGGTTTTACCTGCTCTGACATTGTAAGCCCACG